GTCCCCATAATAAGGATTAGACTATTGTGGGGCTCCCATACCTTAGGGAAACTACCAATTCCAAACTCTGCAAACGATGCAAAGTGCGCCTGCCTGCCCAAAGCTTTGTCCCTATCATTTTGCCATATACAACACTTATACGGGGGTTTCCCAAAATCAGGGGTACCCTTTCACGGGTCCCTATAATCAGGACCACAGTTGGGATCCCCCTCCAGTTAGGGAAACTACCAGGACCATATTCAGGCGTAAGCAAATCCGTCTCTTAGCAGCTGCAGAATTTCTAAGTCACACAACACAACAGCATGCAATCCCAGGCGCTCAACGACCCCGGGTTAAAACATCCGTTTAGGTTGTTCTGCCCAGGGAGTCATGACTATCTGGGGGGAATGGCCTCAATGAGAAATGCTGCCTTTCCTTGCAACAGTAGGACAACTGACGATAGTGATAGACGTTACAAGTAGGAGCCCGCGCCAGAAACACAACAAAAGCCGCGAGGACACATGGAAAGTAGGATGAACTAAGCCAACAAATGAATACAGCAGCAACAGCAGCTGCAGTCGTCATCATTATCATCATCATCATNNTCATCATCATGATCATCATCATGATGATGATCATGATGATGATCATGAATCATGCGTGCAGGAGTGCTCCTTCGCAAAGCTGGCAAGGTTGCCACAGGCAGCATCCCCACCACACGGAGTAGTAGAGGGACTGGTACTCGCTGCCCGGTGAGTTCCACATACCTGCAGCGCAGGCTTCCTTATTCTCCGATGCTTGTGTCAAGCCTTCTCGCTGATAGGTAAGGCAGAAGTATGCAGAAACTGTCTCAAAACCAGGCACGCGGCTAGGATCCACATCCAGACACATGCTACAATCCTGAACCCAAGATCTTGCGACCAGCCGTGCATACGATGCAACAAGGACGACTGCGCGACCCTACACTCAATACGATTGTTGCGCAACATATGCTGGATAAAACGTCACGAAAATCAAAGGGGCAGGATTCTGCATATCAGTGACTGTTGACAGTCTCGAGGCGTGCCGAACTCTAGGCTTCGCCGAGTGCAAAGTCTACATGCGAAAATGTGCCGGCAAACGCTTCCAAAAACAAAATGACATATCTCAGGTCGGCATCCTGAGCCCAGGAACCCTGCTCCAAAGCATTGCGGCAAACGATTGAGAACAAGACACCAACCAGCACACAACAGCAGCACAGTGCTTTGATCAACCTGGACCTTCTACCTGGAACTTTTTTCTTGGTCTTAGGGTTTAAGAATAAGGGGCTTAGGCTTTAGGGATAAGGGGATAGATCTAAGTTCATTAAATCCTTATATTCCCACAGTTTCCATTTCATTTTCCATTTTATTTTCCATTTGATTCTCCATTATAGGCCATTATGGTAACTTAATTTGTAGTATTCCTATACACTTCTTGGTACTCATGCCCACAGGGCACCAGGGACTCTGTCGAAGCTAAGCCCCCCCGCTTTGGCAGGTCGTTCCGTGACTGCAGCGGGCCTTTCACTTTTGGAGTTGCTCAAAATAGGGTTCAGGGTTTGGGGTTCAGGATTTAGGGTTTAGGGTAGCCTTGGGATGCCAGAGAAAAATACAGGGGCTACCAGGGGATTACGTGGGGAGGGTCCTTTTTGCGGAACATGTAGGGCTCATTTTGCAATGCTCACTTGGAGTCTTTTGGACTTAGTTTTGTTGATACACGATTTTCCACCCCTGCAGAGATCTCTGTTTAAGGAAACCTGCGGCAGCAGCAGTTTGCGTGCAACTTGGGGTTTCTAGAAATTAGGAGACCCAATAATAAGGATTATAGCATTTTGTGGTCTACACTGCCGTCCCCTTTTTAACGGAAACTACCACTTGATGCCAGAGGAGCTACAGTCCTGCAAAGCTCTGCCTGAACTCAGCCTGGCCTACTCAATGAATTCAGGACTCGAGGTGGGAATTAGGGTTTAGGGTTTAGGGCGAAGCCCTGAGAAGACATCCAAAATATCTACAAGTATTGCTCATATTAGTTTCCATTTTCTTTTCCACTATCCCTATATAACCCCAATATCAAGGTTATGTACAATCCTAATATTTCCAAAAGCTCCTATATAAGTATTGCTCATAATATACCTCATGTGTAGCAGACCACGAGTTCGTCCATGTCCAAGGTTTCGAAGCCCACCTGTGTTGCCACGCGTAAGGCGCATGTGTCTTGGGCTGGCGGACCTTGGAGCAACAGCCGCTACTCTCCAACATAGGAAATAAGGTGCATCAGGTCTCAAAAATGGAGCATGAGTTGTACGTACAGTGCCCTTCCTCACTCTAGGCACCACCGACAGGAAAACAACCTGAGGTTCAAGCGCAGCTTTCGGCCCTTCCATACACCTCGGTATGCAAAGCTGGCCTAGACCATAATAGGCTCAACGAATAGTCGACTCAGGGTCCCGTGTTGGGGGTAATGACTCTGCATGACATCCTTACATTCTCTCTCTGATTCATCCAACCCATCCTGGTACCCAGTTGTTCTAAAAGGTTTCGTTCTGCCATCACAAAATTACTGATCCCTGCTTGCAAGGATCAAATAACCCCTTCTTGGCCGGACCTACCCTGACTCTCTGTCATTCATACATACACCTCTTGCGCTCACCGCAAATTCGTCCAGCAAATCCCCGTGAAAACCTCCGCACGCTCATCCTGCATATCCCCCCAGGCTTAAGGAGGGTAGTCATGATCGTAATAGTAATAATAATAATAATAGTAACAATGAAAATAAGAATAATCATACTAGTAATGATACTGAAGCTAGTCATAAATAGTGGGTACCCCAGTTTCATGGAAACCCCTCCCTGGCATCTGCTGGCCTGCGCTTTGGAACCGGCGAGCGGGTGTCCTGCGCCTTGGGTGTGGACTCACCGCCTGCAGGTCAGAAAGGCCTACAAGTATTAGTATTACTCCTGGAACCACTATTCTTATTGCTAGTACTATTATTGCTGTTAGTAGTATTAGTACTATGATTATTGTTATTATTTGATATTATTTGAACTATTTTGGAGGTCCCAATAATAAGGACTATAGTATTTGGGATCTATATTGGGGTCCCGTATCTTCTTAAGATCAAGAGTCAAGAGGGTTCCCTCTGAGAGCCTCATAAAGATTATCAAGAGATTGTTTGCAGATATTCTGGTGGTTTCTGGTTTCTGATAGCCGGACTTCTTGAAGCGAATAGCCTGTTTGGCAAATCTCAAACTTCATGCGACGTGATGCAGGGAGGAATTGGAAGGACATCAGGTGCAACGGGTTCCAGCTTCACATGTGGACTTCCCCGTGCTCGCAACCCTCCCACAAGGCACCTTCTCTGCAATGCAATTTTCCGAGAAAAAATGTTCACTTTTTAGAAAGCAGCACAGGCCTGCCGTGCTGCGTGTTAGTGGCTACCGTATAAAGAGGCCTTGCTAGGACTCGCCGGCCTCTGGCACCTAGCAACAAGTATGACAACTGAAGATACGCAACACGGCACCTTCCCCGCGAGCTTGCCATCCAGCGCTGTGAACATCGGCCCTGGCAACAAGCTTTCTGTTGCTATCCTCCACGCACTGATGGTTGTAACAGAGGAACACAGAGGGACCTTAATACAAGTACCACGAATTATTTCTAGGGGTCACTGTCCGCAAATGACCAGGGCAAGCAATAACAACATGCTAGGATCCTGGCTGCCTGGGCCGGTAGTTTAAAGTGCAGTGCGAGCATCACGAACGCACTAAGTCCTCGCTTGCACGGCATGATACAAAGGTACCTGCACTAGGGTTCACACTTCCTCCCTTATGACAATCGAGAGCTTGAAGGCTTTAAGGAGGACCTCCGGCATGGTTGTGGAAAATACATCTGCATG